GTGTGTGGGGGGTGTGTGTGTCTGAAGTCTGGCTTCACCTTCCCTGTACTCTTCCATTAGGTAGCTGTAGACAGCAATGAGATCCCTGCTTTGTCTTTTGTCTTAAGACTGAATAAACACATTTCCCTCATGTCTCCTCATACATCATGTGGTTTGGGCCCCCTAACTGGCTTTTGCTGCACTCACTCCAGTTTGTTACTCTTCCTTGTATTGGAGATCCCAAAACTGAATATGATACTCGCAGGTGCTGAATAGAGAGGAGAAAATCCCTTCCCTTGACTTGCTGTCTGCACTCATAGGATGTGGTTGGTGGGAGTAGCTCTTCTTTATTGTATTGTTTAATCATGGTGGCCTTCCCCTCACTCTTTCTTTTGTCCCTTGTTTTTCTTGGCTTTTGCAAATCTCTTCAAGTCACTGGTATTTGTCCTGAGCCTGTAATATGATGTCTTTACATCATGTCTGTGTTCTTGCAAGCATTTCTCTTGCCCTTGATCTTTTATCATTTAAATTGGTTACTAGGCTGTGAGGTAACTTTCTTTTTATACCAAGGTAATTTCTTTAAGATCTTCTGAGGAAGGACCTTATTAAAACTTCTCTGCGTTCCAGCAATGGTAATTTGCTTATGGTGCTCCGAAGTCTTTCCTTGTCCTTTTCATGGCAGTTGTTGATGCTGGAGGGTCCTTGGGTAGGGGTGTTTTGCAGGCCATATTTACTATCATAATAGGGAAGTGGAGACCAGCAATTGATCTCTGTACATAAAAAGCTGAACACTTTCACTGGTATATAAGATCGGAATAGTGACTAGCTGCTGTTGTCTTGGCTGATAATTGCCATGATGCTGTCCTTTGCATCTCTTGCCCAGGTGCATTTCAAAGGAGTTCCTAGGCCAAAGAGGAAACAAAATCTTCGCCTCTGGACTCTGTGCAACAACGGTACTAGCAGTTATGGTATCCCTTCTCAGATGAAACAGGGTTTTTTTCTGTTTATACTGAGTTACTGAGGAGTAGATAGTCTAGAGAACAGATTCTGTCATCCTTATAGTCCTTTGCAAGTTTAGGTTTTGGGATGAATGCCCAAAAGTCTTGCCTTGTCTCTGCCTAGTTCATTTATCTTTTGAAGCAATGCTGGTCTTCACCATTAAGCTTTCTACTTCAGGACATACTGCAGACTATGCAGGGCTTAATTTTTTATGAATCCTTCCCACTCCACTCTTTCATTGCCTGGCTAGTCTGCAGCATGTGGCAGCAGAAACCTTTGGGATGGCTTTTGTTAGGCTGTATCTTGGCAGCTTCTAATCCCTCCTTGGAAGGAGCGCTTGCCCAGGCAGATGCTAGCTGACCTTTGGCTGACAGTTCCCTGAGCACAGGTGAAACTATCCCTGTTTGTGCTGGAGGAGCTGGTTAGCCTGTGGTAGGGAAGGTGGTGCCCTTGAGCTCCTTCCATCATGACCAAGCAAGATGAGGAGGATTATCTTCAGGGTGGGGCCAGTCAGATCTAAAAGCTTAGGGCTACTGTCTGCAGGAAGTAGTCATTTCACCTGTGTCCTGTGACTTGGAGCAGTGCAAAATACACTCAGGGCATTTGTTTGTGTTTCTGCATGCACTGTGTCTAAGCTGTATTGCACTGGGGTGTCCACTGTCCTGTCTCAACAAGCAGAGTGCCTTGAGCTCTTCTTTTCGTAGACAGGCTGCAGGCTTTAGCATTTCTGCAGAGAATATCAGATTTGCTACATAATAATGTACATCCTAGGTATTTTGGAAACCCTCACAAATCTCTCTTTATCCTTCTAAATGAGAAATAGGAAATCCAGCCAAATGTCCTGGAATCTGTCCTCTGTGACTGGAGAGTTTCCAAGATAAACCTGTTTGCCCTAAATGCCATCAGGAGGTTCAAATCTTCTGGTCCTGAACTGGCTGCTGCCAAAGTGTCTTTTGGGTATTTTTCTAAGTTCAGTGATCTTATTATTTCCTTTATCAAACACTAACACTTTCCTGGTGCTTGTGTAGTTACATAATTTATACATGGTGAGAGCTGACAGACCTGGGCTGGCCTTTCTTGGTTGTAGCTGGCTGTTACATTGGCATAGCCCGCTTTGCCAGTGTTCACCCCAAGAAGCTTTGAACTTGAAGAACCCAGGCAGGAAAACACTGATCTGGGTGAAGTAAGGTTATGAGTCCAGCAGCAGGTTCTCCATATCATGATCATGTATCATTTTCCTCTGCAGATAACCCTAAGAGGCCAGGGACCAGCTGAAAGGAAAAGGCGGACCATATAATGGGTAGCAATTCAGTGATCAGGTATATAGATAACTGGATTTGTGACTCCAGGGAGAATGGCATCATGACTTGGCTGGTAGACACAAAGTACACAGCTCTCCCAAGGCATCCGAATATTGTACCAGTTGCTGAACGTGAAGTGATAGTTGTGGTCCCTGTGGCACAGGGGAGAGCAGAAAAGGTTCTGTATGTAAACTTTTAACTATTAGATAGGAAGTTGAAAACCAGGACCTCTGCTGTAGTGGTCTCCAAAATGCCCACCTTGGCACAGTACTGTGCTTTGCCCAGTACCAGAAAGAAAGGTGAGGAGGAACAGTTCTGGTATGTTGCTGAGGAATTGGTCTGAGGAGGAGGGGTCCGGATCCTCTGGAAGCTGCAGCACTTCTGAAATAGAGTGTGGTTTTTTTGTAAAGAAGGGACTGACTTAATTTAAAGCACTGTAAAACTGGGTTTCAGGTGTTTGGAATTTGGCAGGTCATGCTACCAAGATGTGAAGTGTACAAGAAAGACAAAGCTGGCCATGTTTGTGAAGATGTGGTGCTATTTATTAAAGAGATCATAGACTACGATCTGATAAACTTATAGATCTCTAAGGATTAAAATTTCTGTGTAAACAAGAGGAAAAAAAATCAGTTATTACCATTTCCATGCTATTTGACTGGGGTGGTGACAATGATTGAGGTGGAGAAGTCAAGGGCAGGGAACAGTTGCTGCAGGAGACTTAACCCATGTAGCTTAAGGAAATGTAACTTTGGGGTCAAATTCTGAAATAATATTTTTAGACATGGCTAGTGTTTTATGGAGCAGGTGGTCAAGGAAGCCACAGGAAGAAAACTGAACTGTGGAAGAATAGCAGGACACTGGTTGCAGCCTCTTGGGATTTATACCTTTACATGAACAAGAGCCCAACAGTAACTGTTATCAAAGTGCAGTAACCTAAAAATATGGAAGCTTGTTAAAAAACAGCTGAGCAGGGCAGCTGTTTCTGTGGTTCCAGGGGATATTGTGAGAATTAAAGACCATGCAAATTAACAGAAATAGAACAAACAAAATGAGTACGTGCATAAATATTGCAGTGAGGGAGAAGAGCCTTTGCGAAGGCTGGCTATGCCTTACAGTCCTGTTGAATGGAGAAGTAGAAAAAGATCAGTCTGCATGGATTTGCAAAAGCCATCTGGCAAGGTTCAGTTTCAAAAATTCTCAAGGAAGGTAAAGGAAATGTGGGACAAAGTGAAGGAGCTTGTGTTGTTGAATGATCAGTTAGATGATTAGCTAACAGGTAGGACACGGGGCAGAGAAATGAATGGCCCATGTGTGCATATCATGCCCCTCTTCTTCCTGCAGCTGAGGATGTTCACCAGTGGATTTCTGTGGGGATGTGTACTACACCTCTGATGTTCACTACCTTAATAACTGACCTGGAAGTGAAATAAATAGTAAGACGATATTTTTTGCTGATGTATGAAGCTAACTAGAGTTGTAAAATTAAGGGCTGACTGTGGATGATAAAATGAAAGGTGCAGTTGAGGCTTGATGGATGTAAAATGATTCTCATGGAGGGAGACTAAACAATCCAAACTTGACACAAAAATGGTCTCTGAGCTGCCTCTTACAGTGTGGGGATAAGTTCTTTGTGTCCCAGTTCCATGGAAAAATCAGCTCAGTTCTCATCTGCAGTCAAAAAATAAATGCAATAATAGAGACCAGGAGGGGGAGGAATAGAAACCAAAATGGAGAACATCATTATACTGTTGTTTGTAATAATCACTGTGTGTTTGTGTTGTGAATAATGTGTGCAGTTCTGTTTTCCCCGTGCTTCTCAAAGAAGATACAGAACTGGAACTGTAGCAAGAGTAGTAAGAGGTTTAGATGAGCTTCCATAAGAGGAACAACTGAGTAGACTGCGAGTAGTCAACCTTGAGAAGAGACCATTGGGGAGTGGGGTATGAATGAGGACTTTAAAATCCTTGAGAAAGTTAACAGCGAAATGCTATTCCTCTCTCTCCCAATTCTAAAAATGCAGGTACCAAGCAAAGCTAGCTTAGACAGTAATTGAATGGTGGAACTGCAGGATGTTGCCTTTTCAAAGAGCTTACAAAGGTTCAGAAAGCGATCAGATTAATGGAGGAAAATCTGTTGAGGAGTGAAATACAGAAAGACCACCTTTTCCTTAGGAAACTCTGTAAAATATGTGTTGAACAATGAAAGAACGTTCTTGGAAAATACAACTGTTTGCTCTGCCCTGTTCATCCACTACCAGCTATTTCTGGAGACAGTATATTAGGCTAGATGGCCATTTGTTCTAATATACTGTATCTGCACTTATGGGTTGGTTTTTTTCTTTTCTTTTTTTTTTTTTTTTTTTTTTTTTTACTCTCTTGTTAATCACCTATATAAATATTTTTTTTCTGATATGGGGGTAGGGAGCGGATGACTCCAAACCCAGAAAATTATTTGCTGATTCTTTTCCAGTCCTCTCCCTACTAATTAACAGCTAAAGAGTAGCTGTATATCAGAAAGCTGTCAGTCACTAAAGCAGAGTGACATTTTATCTTGGGTTCAAGAGAAGACTAAAAGAGTAAGGTAATTTCAACATTTTTACCTTAAATGATTTACGGATTTTTTTTTTTTTTTTTTTTTTTTTTCCCACTATATTTCTGCTGCAGGAAATCTTGTGGATTTGCTATTTTGTGCTTGACTGATATTTTGTTTGGCTTTTTGAAGGTACATGGGAATAGGACTTTCTGCTCAAGGGGTCAACATGAACAGGCTTCCTGGTAAGTCACTGTTAAGATTTGGTTTGGTTTACAGTCTGTGTTAAGTGTTCATTTGAATAAAGATTTTAATTTATGTATGTGAATTAGTGAATGTGTGTTTCTATTAATAAAATGTCATGACTCTGTCTTATGTCTGGAAGTTTCAAACTATTGAATGTTATCCTAAACTGAGTTACCAGTATTGTTAATGTAGCCATGATGATTTTAGCAGATAATAGAAATTAATGTTAAACTAATGAGTAATGGGTAAGATGATGAGCTTTCAGACATGCAAGCTCTTCTTTGTGTCTGAAAAATAAGTAGCAAAATAATTTGAGATTTAATCCGTATATCCCACTTGACAAATTTACATGAAAGAATCTGAAAATTACAGGAAAATTGGCCTGTCATATTGTCTCTCCTCTCTTCTCTCCCTCTTCCCACCAAAAAACTGGAAAAATATGATAGAGTGGTATTTCCAGTTAATATTGTTGCTTCCTTTGTTTGAACTGTTTGTTTTTAGGTTGGCCTCTAAGTTGGTTAAGTAGCTTTTTTAAAAAAATGAATAATTGATAATCTTTCTTTAACAATATCCGATTTATTAGGTAAAATTATAATTTCTAGATTTGGATCAACATACTGACTTCTGTAGCAGGAATTCTTTCAGCTGGGTTTGAAACTAGAAGTTGTCTGTGTTTGGTAGAAAGTAAATGTTCTTCAAGTGCCAGATTGAATGACAGCTGGTTCCCAGTGGTGGGGCTTTATTTGGTCTTGGGTGTGATTTGTTTCTGATGGAGTTGTTTTAAAGCTGAAATGTGTGTTCAGCCCTTATTATGCATCTTGGTATTTCCAAAGGAGAATGTTTTGTGAATGTCCTAACAAAAGGAAGAGCTTCCATAGGGTTTTCACTAAGACCTGTGTGAATTCACTTCTCAGTGAGGATTTTGCTTTCATCTTCACTGGTGACTTGCATATTCGGAGGGCGGAACACACTCATTTTTTTTCCTTATAACCTCCAATTGAAAATGTTGCAGCATTGGAGCAAAATCCCTGACTATTCAGTTAGCAAAATATGTGATTTTGTAGCTCTGTTAGAAATTTATGAAGTGTATATTTCTATAGCTATGTTTCTGAAATTCTGCTAAGACTGCAGATGGAGTCCCAGCAGGAACGCAAAAAGGAGACTAAGACAGCCAGGGTCCTTGGATGATTGCAGAAAAAGGCCAGCTTTCTGGTGCCCATTCTTTTAATTATAAATCTGCTGCTGAATTTTTCAATGGAACAGCTGCCTTGTCTAGTTACTGAAGAGAAGCATGGAGGTCTTGGAATGCAGGAGGGAGCATTTAGGACCTTTTGCATTGATAAAGAAGAAATTTGGAATTGTAGGCTAATTGCATTAGTTAATTAGTCCAATTACAGTTTCATCAGTGAAACAGTAAGCATTGTTGTTTTAGTGACAAATGTCAGTGCGGGGTGTGGGCCATTCATAAATCACAACCATAGTTAACAGTTGCAGGCAGACTTTCCTTTTCCAGGTACCCTTTGATCATGTTTGATTGTCCTTGAGAGTCTTCTTTTGGCCACTGTCAGAGGCAAGTCCTAAGACCTGTTGGTCTGACTTGGGCACAACCTTCCTTGCATCTGTTCTTCTCTGGCAATTTCAGACCTGCCCAGAGAGCTTGTGGAACCTCTAACTTTGGAGATATTTAGGACTCAGCTGGACGTGGCCTTGACCAACCTGATCTGATTAGACCTCCTTTGAGCAGGGGTTGGACTAGGTGACTTCTGGAGGTTCCTTCCCTCCTTAGTTATTCTATACTTCTGTGATAACTCTGTTTTTGGGAGAATGGTTTCAGTGACACCCATGTTTTAAAGAATTTGCATCTTACTGCAAACTAGATTTCTTAATAATTGTTATGACGACTATAGCATAAACACATTGGGGGGAGAATTAAGGTCACAGTCCTTATCCACTCAGAATTAGACCGGGGAAGGAGGAAGGCAGGAAACTGCCAGTTTTCTCAAGTGATATTTGGTTGCAAAAAGGTAGGGAATGTCTAGATCAAGATGATCTGGTGTCAACAGGTATAGAAGTCTCAGTTTTCAGACTCCTCCTCTCTCTGCACTCCCTCCCAAGCCAAGTGGGTTGTGTGCTTGTGCAAGATGAAGCATGAGTCAAGTCCCATCATCAAGGGTCTTCCCAAGTACCAAGTGCTTGGCTGCTTGGAGAAGATGTTGTTTGTAGTTGTCTTGTAGACTTGGCCTGTAGACTGCTGCTTGGATTATGCTTAACCTAGGATTCTCCTGGGATTATAACACAGTTATATACACACACACACACACATATATATATAAAAAACATGCTTGAATACTAACCTGAGATGATGTGTACTGTCATAGGTGTGCTGTCTTGAAATTGAACAGCCAACATAATTTCTTTTTCTTTTTCTTTTTTTTCTTTAGAGACTAAAAATTAGCCAAACCATTTCTGATAAATGACTTTAAAGCCCAAGAGCTACATGGGCAGTATTTTGTGGCCAGTTTGAATGGAAGTGCCTGTATACTACCATTATTTCTAGAGTGTATGTGGTAAATGTGGAATTATTGTCTCTGAGTGAAATAAAACATAAAATGAACTTGAGACTTCAGATAGTGCTTATTTATCAATGAATTGCACAAAATTGATCCTATGAACATGTTGTTTGTTTGGTCACATGCAGATTATTCTGCCAAGAGTGATTCTGCGGGCATAGTTAGGTGGATCTCCCATCATCTGTGTAAAATGAACTGCATGGCTCTGTATTACAGCTCAGTAAGTGTCTTCCTGGCTTTTGGAGAATGAGTCTGATTTTTTTTTTTATAGTATATTGCTCACGTAACTGAAATGAGAAACATGGATCAGGCTTAACCGTTACCAGGTCCTTCACAGCACAGAGTACACGAGAGCTCACAAAGAAGTGACAGACTTTGGAGCCTTGACTTGGCTTCATGTCAAAGTGTAATTTTAACTTTTTGTGACCTGAAACCCTGCCAGGTTTGTCTCCTTAGACCATTTCTAAGTCACTTCTGCTTTAACAGATCAGTTTTTGCTTGGCATGCTGGCAGGGCAGTATGTGATCCACTACAAATAGTGGTTTGGGAGCCCAAAGCCTGGTATGGGAGCCAAAGTTGGTCCCTTTCTTGTTCCCACTTTCAGTGGGGATCCTTGGCACCCTGTCAGCCCTAATTCGAAGAACGATCTTGTTGCTGGGTTCTGTCTCAAACTCCTTCCCTCTGCCGCCCCCCAGACCAAACACTTTGGCTATATCCTGTTCCCAGGCAGGGTATTTGTGCTTTATGCCAAATTTATTTTGGCTTCAGCCCAACTCTGTGCTGGTGGGGGTAGTGCTGAGCTTTCTCTGAAGGTTGGAAGTGTGGATGGAGCAACCTGAGTGTTCCCTTAAACCACCCCTCTCTGCATTACGAACAGAGACTGCTTTTTAAAAGGAGGGTGCCCTGTCCCTGTTCGACTCAAGGTTTCTGTGGGCTGTGCTTTGAAATTCAATCAGCAGGTCTGAAATTATTGTGGGATTTTTATTGAAGTGCCAGCATTTGTGACCCTGACATGTCTTCATTATTTTTTTATTATTATTTTTTAAAATTTGAAAAGACATTTAGAACACTCACTAATAAATGTTCTGCTTTAAACTAGTGGGTTTTATTGAAATGTCTGCTCACTTCTTTCCCCAGATACAACTTTTTTTCATGTGTGCTCAGCATTTTGGTATCTGAGGATGAAATTACATGATACAGCTGAACTGATCTAACTTGCTGTCATCAAAGGAGAGAAACTTGACCCTTTCTCCCCCCCCTCCCCCAGCTGCACAGTCCCTCTTCTTCCCTTGTGCAAGCCCCTAACTCTGGCACTTGTCACCTCCTTTGCCAGGACAGCTTTCAGGCCTGGCAGGAACCTCCCTGCTTTTCTGCTGTGTTGGGGTTGTGGCAGGCTGGTTTCTTCAGACCTCACAGAGCAATGCTCTTACCTTTGCACCCTGAAGGTAACATCTGAAAAGTCTTTTTTTTTTTTTCTTTCTTTTTTTTTTTTTTAAATATTATTTAGCCCTCAGTCCAGAAAGTTTTTCGGAGCCCAGATGAAAATGTGTAGGTGGCTTGCTACAGGTTAGGTTTCACCTAACTTTCATAAAATGGACAAGATAGGCGTCCCTGTCTTTAATACGGATGAGATGTGCACACTGGAGATGATTCTCCCCTGCATGTGGTGGTCTGCATTGGTTCAAGTCCTTCATGCTGTTGAGAGATAACATTTCATTTGTACTAGCTCTTTGAGGATAACCCAGCAGGAACATACAGCCAGGCAGAGAGGGAAGGAGAGATGATTCTCTATGGTAGCAGCAAGGTCTTAATTCAGCCTAAAATGTTGTGAAACCATACCCTTAAGCATACCCTGCTGCAGTTTCTGAAATAGCATAGATAGAATCTGACCAATCACTTTGGAGACTTGAAACACCCTCTGGTTAATAACTGACTTGCCCTGCTATGCAGCATTGCACATGTTACAGGGAGTGCCAGCTTTCACTCACCGTTGTTTTGTTTTATGAAACTGATTATTTTTTTCACCTTACTTTTCAAAGATACTGCTTGGCTTATTCACAATCTGCTTGCTTGCAACTCCCTATTAAAAGAACAAGCTTTCAAATTCAAGAATGTTTTATAGACTTTAATTAGAGTGCAGCCAGATAAACCAGTAGAATTTGGTGTACAGAAACCTGCTCTGTATTGGAGCAGAAGGGCCTGTCAGCATCTGTACTCCCAGTGCTAAGGGACGGGAATGGCAAAGGCAGTTTAAGAGTTTTAGGTTTTTGGACTTTGGCTTCTGGGACTGTAATGCCTTAAACCAGATCAGCAAAACCAGAAACAGTTTGTCCAACTGTCCCATGTCTTTGTTCAGTAAAGGGTCCTTGTGAGTGATCTGTTTCTGTAGACACGTAGATAAAATAAAAAATGAGCGCTGGGAATTAAGA